CACTCACCCCTAGAGGACATCATCCATAGTACCGCCTCCTCTGCACTCACCAGTACATTGCTGGGCTTTGTGGGGCTCTGCAGACTGTCTCCATCTTCCTTCTCCTCTCCTTCAGTGACTGTGGTTGTCTTCCTAGGCGGCAGAGAGCATTGTATCCATTGTGTTTGGAATGAAGAAACTGGCCTGGGCTCACGTTGACCACACGAGGACAGTTCGAGATTGGCAGCAGCGGGAATGCTTCCACTTCGAGAAGGGCAGATACATGCCGGAATTGTATCTGGAGGCCGTAAGTTTCCTGAATCTCTCTGATAATAACTGTCACTTGTAGCACTACGAAAGAGAACTATAAATCCCAGCATGCTAAGCTCATTCAGGACAAGTCCACCTCCCTTCTGGCCCTGGGCCCTATAGATCCCAGCCCATCACCCTGCTATCACTGGGAAGGGAGATGGACCTGGAAGGGAAATGATGGATGGAAATTAATGGTTGCTGTCAGAATGGGAACACCAGTGTCTGAGCCGTGTGAATGTGTTCTCAGCCCCGCCCCCTCCTTGTGACGTACATTGCTCAGTGTGAGCTGACGATTGGACTGACCCTGTCATGTTTTACAGATCTCGGAGGTTATCTCTCAGCTTTCTCAGGCAGATTTTTACATCCTGGAGCAGCCGTTGGTCCCCATGCAGAAAAGTTTGCTGTTTCCTGTGGCGTTACATTACCGGACGGTGGAGGCCATGTTGTACAGTCTGTTAAACCCCCAAATCATAGCGGAGCGGGAGCACCGGGTGTTCAGCATGCACAGATCCACGGTGGGGAAACACTTTGAGCTCATGTTGGGGCAGGTGAAGACCAGCGGGGTGGACGTTGTACAGAGACTCATCGATGAGGCCGCCATTGTCTCCACCCCCAGAGTCAACTTCCCTTCAGAACTTCTCCAACAGAACCAGCACCAGAGCCGCGGGCAGAACCGCAAGGAAGAGATGTGTGACGCATTGCTTCAGGCCATAACCTTCTATGAACTGGTTCACTTCTAAAATGTTCTCTACCTACTTCCTGCTGCTAAAGTGTACCTGTCCTGTACCCCCCCCCGTATGGAATGAAGGAGGGGGACACATATGAACACTTCCACATCACATGGAGACATAATCTGCCATCAATAAAAACAAATATTCATTCCTTTGTATATCATGCCATTATAAGATTCACCCCTCTAACAATACTCCGCATCATCCCACCAGCCTCAGCCCCGAGCAGCCAAGCCCAGGTTCCAGCCTCAGCCCCGAGCAGCCAAGCCCAGGTTCCAGCCTCAGCCCCGAGCAGCCAAGCCCAGGTTCCAGCCTCAGCCCCGAGCAGCCAAGCCCAGGTTCCAGCCTCAGCCCCGAGCAGCCAAGCCCAGGTTCCAGCCTCAGCCCCGAGCAGCCAAGCCCAGGTTCCAGCCTCAGCCCCGAGCAGCCAAGCCCAGGTTCCAGCCTCAGCCCCGAGCAGCCAAGCCCAGGTTCCAGCCTCAGCCCCGAGCAGCCAAGCCCAGGTTCCAGCCTCAGCCCCGAGCAGCCAAGCCCAGGTTCCAGCCTCAGCCCCGAGCAGCCAAGCCCAGGTTCCAGCCTCAGCCCCGAGCAGCCAAGCCCAGGTTCCAGCCTCAGCCCCGAGCAGCCAAGCCCAGGTTCCAGCCTCAGCCCCGAGCAGCCAAGCCCAGGTTCCAGCCTCAGCCCCGAGCAGCCAAGCCCAGGTTCCAGCCTCAGCCCCGAGCAGCCAAGCCCAGGTTCCAGCCTCAGCCCCGAGCAGCCAAGCCCAGGTTCCAGCCTCAGCCCCGAGCAGCCAAGCCCAGGTTCCAGCCTCAGCCCCGAGCAGCCAAGCCCAGGTTCCAGCCTCAGCCCCGAGCAGCCAAGCCCAGGTTCCAGCCTCAGCCCCGAGCAGCCAAGCCCAGGTTCCAGCCTCAGCCCCGAGCAGCCAAGCCCAGGTTCCAGCCTCAGCCCCGAGCAGCCAAGCCCAGGTTCCAGCCTCAGCCCCGAGCAGCCAAGCCCAGGTTCCAGCCTCAGCCCCGAGCAGCCAAGCCCAGGTTCCAGCCTCAGCCCCGAGCAGCCAAGCCCAGGTTCCAGCCTCAGCCCCGAGCAGCCAAGCCCAGGTTCCAGCCTCAGCCCCGAGCAGCCAAGCCCAGGTTCCAGCCTCAGCCCCGAGCAGCCAAGCCCAGGTTCCAGCCTCAGCCCCGAGCAGCCAAGCCCAGGTTCCAGCCTCAGCCCCGAGCAGCCAAGCCCAGGTTCCAGCCTCAGCCCCGAGCAGCCAAGCCCAGGTTCCAGCCTCAGCCCCGAGCAGCCAAGCCCAGGTTCCAGCCTCAGCCCCGAGCAGCCAAGCCCAGGTTCCAGCCTCAGCCCCGAGCAGCCAAGCCCAGGTTCCAGCCTCAGCCCCGAGCAGCCAAGCCCAGGTTCCAGCCTCAGCCCCGAGCAGCCAAGCCCAGGTTCCAGCCTCAGCCCCGAGCAGCCAAGCCCAGGTTCCAGCCTCAGCCCCGAGCAGCCAAGCCCAGGTTCCAGCCTCAGCCCCGAGCAGCCAAGCCCAGGTTCCAGCCTCAGCCCCGAGCAGCCAAGCCCAGGTTCCAGCCTCAGCCCCGAGCAGCCAAGCCCAGGTTCCAGCCTCAGCCCCGAGCAGCCAAGCCCAGGTTCCAGCCTCAGCCCCGAGCAGCCAAGCCCAGGTTCCAGCCTCAGCCCCGAGCAGCCAAGCCCAGGTTCCAGCCTCAGCCCCGAGCAGCCAAGCCCAGGTTCCAGCCTCAGCCCCGAGCAGCCAAGCCCAGGTTCCAGCCTCAGCCCCGAGCAGCCAAGCCCAGGTTCCAGCCTCAGCCCCGAGCAGCCAAGCCCAGGTTCCAGCCTCAGCCCCGAGCAGCCAAGCCCAGGTTCCAGCCTCAGCCCCGAGCAGCCAAGCCCAGGTTCCAGCCTCAGCCCCGAGCAGCCAAGCCCAGGTTCCAGCCTCAGCCCCGAGCAGCCAAGCCCAGGTTCCAGCCTCAGCCCCGAGCAGCCAAGCCCAGGTTCCAGCCTCAGCCCCGAGCAGCCAAGCCCAGGTTCCAGCCTCAGCCCCGAGCAGCCAAGCCCAGGTTCCAGCCTCAGCCCCGAGCAGCCAAGCCCAGGTTCCAGCCTCAGCCCCGAGCAGCCAAGCCCAGGTTCCAGCCTCAGCCCCGAGCAGCCAAGCCCAGGTTCCAGCCTCAGCCCCGAGCAGCCAAGCCCAGGTTCCAGCCTCAGCCCCGAGCAGCCAAGCCCAGGTTCCAGCCTCAGCCCCGAGCAGCCAAGCCCAGGTTCCAGCCTCAGCCCCGAGCAGCCAAGCCCAGGTTCCAGCCTCAGCCCCGAGCAGCCAAGCCCAGGTTCCAGCCTCAGCCCCGAGCAGCCAAGCCCAGGTTCCAGCCTCAGCCCCGAGCAGCCAAGCCCAGGTTCCAGCCTCAGCCCCGAGCAGCCAAGCCCAGGTTCCAGCCTCAGCCCCGAGCAGCCAAGCCCAGGTTCCAGCCTCAGCCCCGAGCAGCCAAGCCCAGGTTCCAGCCTCAGCCCCGAGCAGCCAAGCCCAGGTTCCAGCCTCAGCCCCGAGCAGCCAAGCCCAGGTTCCAGCCTCAGCCCCGAGCAGCCAAGCCCAGGTTCCAGCCTCAGCCCCGAGCAGCCAAGCCCAGGTTCCAGCCTCAGCCCCGAGCAGCCAAGCCCAGGTTCCAGCCTCAGCCCCGAGCAGCCAAGCCCAGGTTCCAGCCTCAGCCCCGAGCAGCCAAGCCCAGGTTCCAGCCTCAGCCCCGAGCAGCCAAGCCCAGGTTCCAGCCTCAGCCCCGAGCAGCCAAGCCCAGGTTCCAGCCTCAGCCCCGAGCAGCCAAGCCCAGGTTCCAGCCTCAGCCCCGAGCAGCCAAGCCCAGGTTCCAGCCTCAGCCCCGAGCAGCCAAGCCCAGGTTCCAGCCTCAGCCCCGAGCAGCCAAGCCCAGGTTCCAGCCTCAGCCCCGAGCAGCCAAGCCCAGGTTCCAGCCTCAGCCCCGAGCAGCCAAGCCCAGGTTCCAGCCTCAGCCCCGAGCAGCCAAGCCCAGGTTCCAGCCTCAGCCCCGAGCAGCCAAGCCCAGGTTCCAGCCTCAGCCCCGAGCAGCCAAGCCCAGGTTCCAGCCTCAGCCCCGAGCAGCCAAGCCCAGGTTCCAGCCTCAGCCCCGAGCAGCCAAGCCCAGGTTCCAGCCTCAGCCCCGAGCAGCCAAGCCCAGGTTCCAGCCTCAGCCCCGAGCAGCCAAGCCCAGGTTCCAGCCTCAGCCCCGAGCAGCCAAGCCCAGGTTCCAGCCTCAGCCCCGAGCAGCCAAGCCCAGGTTCCAGCCTCAGCCCCGAGCAGCCAAGCCCAGGTTCCAGCCTCAGCCCCGAGCAGCCAAGCCCAGGTTCCAGCCTCAGCCCCGAGCAGCCAAGCCCAGGTTCCAGCCTCAGCCCCGAGCAGCCAAGCCCAGGTTCCAGCCTCAGCCCCGAGCAGCCAAGCCCAGGTTCCAGCCTCAGCCCCGAGCAGCCAAGCCCAGGTTCCAGCCTCAGCCCCGAGCAGCCAAGCCCAGGTTCCAGCCTCAGCCCCGAGCAGCCAAGCCCAGGTTCCAGCCTCAGCCCCGAGCAGCCAAGCCCAGGTTCCAGCCTCAGCCCCGAGCAGCCAAGCCCAGGTTCCAGCCTCAGCCCCGAGCAGCCAAGCCCAGGTTCCAGCCTCAGCCCCGAGCAGCCAAGCCCAGGTTCCAGCCTCAGCCCCGAGCAGCCAAGCCCAGGTTCCAGCCTCAGCCCCGAGCAGCCAAGCCCAGGTTCCAGCCTCAGCCCCGAGCAGCCAAGCCCAGGTTCCAGCCTCAGCCCCGAGCAGCCAAGCCCAGGTTCCAGCCTCAGCCCCGAGCAGCCAAGCCCAGGTTCCAGCCTCAGCCCCGAGCAGCCAAGCCCAGGTTCCAGCCTCAGCCCCGAGCAGCCAAGCCCAGGTTCCAGCCTCAGCCCCGAGCAGCCAAGCCCAGGTTCCAGCCTCAGCCCCGAGCAGCCAAGCCCAGGTTCCAGCCTCAGCCCCGAGCAGCCAAGCCCAGGTTCCAGCCTCAGCCCCGAGCAGCCAAGCCCAGGTTCCAGCCTCAGCCCCGAGCTAGGCTGGCAGTAAGTCCCTAGCTTTGGGAACAAGCTAAATCCCCAATTTGAAGCCTTAGTTCATATCCGCTAATATGTTACAAGTGCATCAAATCACTCAGAACGCATTCCGTGTCTCTCAGTTCATTTTTCTGTAGAAAGCCTCCGCAGGCGGAATACCAAATCCTGTGTTTCGGGCATCTGCAGAGAGCCCACTGCTTCCAAACAGAAAGTAGCTGTTGGCAGGGGACGGGCTTTTGTACTCAGGCTGCGGCTGATTTCTAGTCTTTGCGCAGCTTTGGTTTCGTGGATTAAGTGGCTGACATTAAACTCCATTCAGCTTCCAGTTTAATGACCGACAAGAAGGGCCCCATCTTCCATTCACATAGAAAGGAGTTCTGGAAATGCTGGTGGTGTCAGAATGAATGGCGGGTTATGCAGGCAGCAGACAATGAGGCTTCTTTATCATCTGATAGGTACGTGCCGTCTCTAGAAGGAAGGCTAAGAAGCAGGCAAATGGCAATTCATTCCAAGCTGGGGCTCTGTGTGCTAAGGCTGCAGTGGAAGCTGTGTCACAGAATGAATATGGATTGGCTGTGGAGGAAGACTGGCCGTACACTTTGCCAGGGGAGGCGGTCTCCATAGACTGGCCGTGTGTGGTGCCGGGGGACGCGGTCTCCATAGACTGGCCGTATACTTTGCCGGGGAGGCAGTCTCCATAGACTGGCCGTGTACGCTGCCAGGGGAGGCGGTCTCCATAGACTGGCCGTGTACGGTGCCAGGGGACACGGTCTCCATAGACTGGCCGTATACTTTGCCGGGGAGGCAGTCTCCATAGACTGGCCGTGTACGCTGCCAGGGGAGGCGGTCTCCATAGACTGGCCGCGTACGGTGCCTCCATAGACTGGCCGTGTACGCTGCCAGGGTCTCCATAGACTGGCCGTGTACTTTGCCGGGGAGGCAGTCTCCATAGACTGGCCGTGTACGCTGCCAGGGGAGGCGGTCTCCATAGACTGGCCGTGTGCGGGGTCTCCATAGACTGGCCGTGTGCGGGGTCTCCATAGACTGGCCGTATACGGTTGTAGCTGTGATGGGCACCATTACCCAAGGTCTGGTCATGACATGGTTGCTGCAGGGAAGAGATGAACTATGCAGGACCCCGACTGAGGCCTCACCTGCTCAGGGCTGACAGTTGTTGGGATAAGAAGGTTACAATGGAGAATTATCACCGTGTTGTCTTGTGTAACCTAACAGACCATCGTGTAATTTCTCCGGATATGGATTGATAAAGCCTTTATTAGGTATTACCCGGATATGGTCCGTGTGCAGATCCTGTCATTCTGTGTCTGGTACTCTTTGTAACAGAATGGTGTACATGTTGTTCCTAGGAGTGTTTCATATCTTTCGGTCATGCACTGGAACTAGAATAAGACTGTTACAGAACGGACAAACAAGCCTATATTAGGATAGCCGGATATAGGCCGTATGTAAGTTAAGAGGTGTTTCTTCCTAAAACTGCTTACTTGTTATTTTAATCAAAGATAAGACTTATAACCATATATGGTACCATAACTATTTCTTTGTCTGAGGTGTATATAAACTGAGACCCGACGTCAATAAAATGAGCATATTGTGACTATCACATCGTGTCTGTCATTTTGTGCTCCCGGAGCTCTGATAAGGGATTTCTCTGGTTGGTCCGATTAAAGGAGTCCACGTACCCTAACAACAGTAATGCAGGAAATGGAAAATCCCATCTGCGTACCGAGAGGAGGAAGTCAGGAACAAAATATCTCATGCCGCGTGCCGTCACATAACTCGAGTACTCTTATGTCTGGAAGGAAGTGCCCCGATCTGGGGTAAAGGTGGCAGCACCCACATGTCCCAAAATAATTACAATGTTACTTTCATTTGGGCCACATGTCCCAGGACAGCCATGCAGTTCTACATCACGTCAGTATACGGATGCCGCTCAGCAACCTGTACAGACTCCATGCTGGATCCTGCCCACACCCAGCTCCCCCCGTATACACATCGCTCAGCCTGGCAGAGGAACTCCGCTCACGTCCCAG